GTCTTGAACGTCTTCTGTTTCTAGTTGTTTCTCTCGGCAATCATTATCTCCAAATGGCATCGGCATCGACTTCACTGTAGCTTCAACGACTTGTCGCTCGTCGAACACAACATCACGAGACGTGAATATCTTCCTCGTTCTAGGGTCCCAAATGCGATATCCATTCGTTGTATATCCTACCATCACATTCTTCGAGGTTTTAGAGTCCAGCTTGTCACGTTTTTCTTTGGGTATCCACGTATACGCAATCGATCCAAAAACGCGCATCTTGTCCACGTTTGGTTTCTTGCCATACCAGATTTCATATGGAGTTTTCTTTTCTTGAAGAGCAGACGTCGGACTTCGGTTCAACACATATGCAGCAGTCTGCACAGCTTCGCCCCACATTGATTTAGACAATTCAGCATCTTGCAGCATCGACCGGGCCTTCTCCGACAGTGTTCTATTCATCCTTTCTGATACTCCATTTTGTTGTGGACTGTACGGCACCGTGAATTCCAGTTGAACTCCTTCAGCACGACAGAAACTTCGAAACGATTTGCTGCTGTATTCTCCTCCGTTATCGCACCTGAGCCTAGCTATTTTCACGCCGAAGAATGCTGTCACCTGGGCATGGTAACGCTCGAACATCTTTTGAACTTCGTCCTTTGACTCCAACAAATAGACTACGGTGAAGTGGCTAAAATCATCGATGAACGTTACATAATATCGCTTTCCGTTCCAGGTAGTCGGAGTGAATGGTCCGCACACATCCGAGTGGACCAATTCTAGCAGTCGGCTTGAACGTCGTTCCGTCGATTCTTCAAATGCTTGCCTAGTCTGCTTCCCAGCCAAACATATTTCGCAGATACAACTATTTGGCCAGTCTTGAATTTTCGAAGAAGTTTCAACCATCGCATTCTTCCACAGACTCTTCAGATTACCTGCGCCAAGATGACCATACCTTCTATGCCACAAATCGAACCCATCGCTTTTGAACACCATCGCACTTGCGCATCCTGCCTCACTTCCGTCTCGGACAAAAATATCTAACGCATACAATTGACCCAATCGCCGACCAGTACAGACAATACGACCGTCCTTTTCTATAGTCACCTTTCCGCTGACGATCTTGACTGTCATATCATTATCTTCCAATCTCCGCACCGAAAACAGGTTGCATTGTAGCTCCGGCACGTATAATACCTCGTTTACCACGGCAGGTTGCTTCTTTCCATCGACCAGCATATCCACTCTTACGGTACCAGCGGTTTCAGCAACAATAACTTGGCCAGACTTCGCAACAGCTATGTACATTTTACGCTTCAACGAATGTAATTCTTCGAACAACGATTTGTCTTTCAACATGTGATCAGTGGCGCCTGAGTCCAGGAACCACTCTATCTTCCGATTCTTCGACGAAGTCAGCAATGCACCACTGCCAGCGCTTGTAGTCGCAATGAAGGCCACCTCATTTTCGCTCGTAACATTCGCTTCAGCTTTCTGCCGTCGTCCAAATTTGCCTCCAGATTTCCAGTTCTTCTCTCGATCCTTTCTGTCGACTTGACGGTTCTCAGGACATTCAGCACGCTTGTGTCCAACACGACCGCAACCGTAACACTTGTAGCCAGCTTTTCTTCCAGCGAACGCAGATTCACCACTGCCGTTTTCTTCGTAATTCGTTGAACACTTACCGGACCGCTTCACTTGCTCATCCAACAAACGTTTCTTGACGTATTCGAGAGTTAATTGATCGGGCTGAATGGTTTCCAAGGCAGTAATCAGAGCTTCATAAGATTTCGGCAGGGCTAACAAAAGTTGACAGACGACGTCTTCTTCTTCAGTCTTCACTCCTGCAGCTTTCATTTCACGAAGTACCTTCTCGAACTGGAGCAAAAATGACTTGACGTTCTCTTCTTCCTTGAGCCGCAACTCTTGAAACTGCTTCCGTAAGAATAGTTTTCCAGCGATTCCGACCCTTTCAAAGGCGTTCTTGAGCGCATCCCAAGCTTCCTTCGCAGTTCTCTTATCCTTCACATATTCCAGCTGATCTTCGGCTATACGGTGAATTAACAGGTTCTTGCATTTTCTGTCCTTGGCCATCCGCTCGTCCAGTAGCTTCTTCTTCCGCTGCTTCTCTTCAGCAGTATCACCCGGAAGTTCCCTCGCGTACTCTTCGTCAGCAACAGCCTTCTCCAGACACTCCAGCAAGCCTTTGTCTTCCATCAATACTTCTATTCTGAACTTCCAGTTCCCGAAGTTTTCGCCGTTAAACAGCCAGAGTTTGTCGTCGCTCATCTTGAAGTCTTCTTCCGTACGAATCAAACGACCGTTACTTCACTATCGATTCCGGTTCCGCTCTGGGCCCATAACCTAATAAACTAGGCAGAGCAATTGGAAAAGAACTTCTTTATTGAACGAAGGTTTGTGAAGGAATGAATAAATTAGTGACACGAATCTTCATGGGTTGCTACATGCTTGTTGTTTGGACAGAGTTGATCGGTTGCTACTCAACAATTGGCACAGACAAACAGACATAACATATTGCACGGCGAATGAGAACAACTCAAATTTGAGTTTAGTTCACTCATAATCGCCAAAAGTGCAGGAACTCAGCGATGAGTAAAATTTGTCCCATGGTTTCCTGTGGAAAACCTAAAAAATCTGCCGGAAAATGAGGAAATTGACGAAAATTTTATTCAGTCTCGGAGTATTACCAATAGACTGAGTGAATCCTATCTTTTGTTTCTCAAATTTGTGATTTTTTCCCTGGTAAATCCTGGAAAACCCTGGGAAAACATGAGGCAAATTAACTCATCGCTGAGTTCCTGCACTTTTGGCGATTATGAGTGAACTAAACTCAAATTTGAGTTGTTCTCATTCGCCGTGTGAATATTTCTCACTGTAAAACATCGTCGCTAAAACATTACCGCCATCTGTTGAGTACATTGTGGAGGGTAGTACGCTGAACAGATGGCGGTAGTGGGTAAACGTCAAAGGCAAGGGAATTGACTATGCGCGCCACAGGTGGCGGTACTACCAACTACGATACTTTTAAATTTACCGTCAAATGCTTGTCCGATGAACATCTTGCGAGTGTTATGTCTGTTTGTCTGTGGTATTGGTGTCCTGGATCAGATTCCGTTGGCAATCGTCTACCAGAAGACCGATTGTAGCCCTCGCTTTCTGGTCACATTTACGCCTGCTGCGTTCGCTTCAGTTTGCACTGGGCACGTGCCAGTCACGTACTCCCAGAGATCCTCTCGACAGCTCAACTTTAAAATTCCAGCTGCTGTAGTTGCTTCCGTTTAGCCGTGGGACACCCAATTACTCACTTGTGGCCATCTCCGGCTCTGAAAAAAAAAACGACGGAACACTCCCGAAGGCGACGCACGGCGGAAAAAAAATCACTCTGTTTATCGGTTGCTATGGTAACTTGCCTGGGCCATTTTCTTAGGAAGAATGGAGCAAAGTAACATTGGTAAAAATTTAATCGCGTCTAGTCCGTTAGAGCGACGACGAAAGAATCACAATTTTTATTCAAATAACTCATGGCTAACTTAGACCTATATTATTTCCTAACTGCAGCTCTTCACCTTGCTAAATGCACCACTTCAATTTCAGGATGCCTTATTCTAAAAAATCACTATGCAATTCATCAAACAAAATGATTTTTTTGCAACACTTCATTTCAGACAAAACTGAAGATTCAAGAAGAAGTCCCTAATAAAAATAACCATAAAAGAGAGCTTAACGACGTGTTCGGGGTATCATCCAAACCATTTGTGTGATAGTTTACCCATCCAGAATATAGTTCGATTATGTTATTTGTTTATTTTGGGTATGATTAAAAATGTTTTGCATTTTCAACATATACTGAGGGTGACCATACTTCCCATATGTAGAAATCCTCAGAGGAGGAAATGAGCTGAGAGAATGTTTTGAGCCAATCGATTTTTCCGAGGATTTCTTAACCTTACTAAAGATCATATTTGAGAGAATCGTAATCAAATAACAATTCAATCCGCTTTATTTTTCGTGTGCTTCTCAAATTCAACTAGTTTTTAGAATGAAAAATAATATTCAAACTCAATTGATTCATTGGCACCAAGAAATGTGCACCATATTGCGATGCACTCAGTTATTATTTTGCACGTACATCGAATCGAAAAAAAAAGTCACGTAAAATGCTAGCTTCTAGCCAGGGTTGCAAGACAATTTACATGCAAAACCCTGCTGCCAAATTGTAGTTTGTTTTCTCCGCCCATCTCTCCCTTTGAGTATTGCTAGTTTGAAGCGATTCTGAGGCTAATCCAAAAAATGGTCACTAAGATTCTGAGAACATTTTCATATCAATATTCTAGGCTTAGCAGCCTTCAGTTTCGAAGCCTCAGCAGAACGACTTCTATAGCATATTTACACTGCTTATTGGAATGAGTTACTTCGCTTATCAGCATATGAGTGAATGGTAAACTGATAGCACTGTGTACTGATAGTGTAGAAAGCATCATGTTATCGATTCGAATGATAGGTGGAATAACCAAGAATCGTCAAAGCATGTTATGTTGCAGATAGGGCTATTCGATGGTAGTCGTGAAAGTTGTACACTGATATACTTGCACCAGCTTCTGAAAAGAATAGTCTCTTTCACCACATTTCAACAACCTGTGTGACGCACTTGGAAACACGAGTTTAGCAAACACAAAACCTCGATTGTTTCCACAATAATGATCGCTTCAAATTCCCCTCCTAAAACGAAACAGGATGCCACATCGATAGCAACATTGCGCGAATGAGTTAGTTGTCTATGAGTCTAGTTGCCATGAACCGAATATGATTAAAAATAACACATAGATATGATAGTCGTGAATCCCTGTACAAGTATGTGACACCCGCGCATCCAACAGAGTTCAATGTTAACGACCACAACACAGGACTTTCACACAGTTGTCGTTATGAATGAGAGGTTTGAGCAGAACCATCACATCAAAATTCGGAAGTCATAAAAAAAAGTTACATACCGTGCCAATGGATCAACGATTTGATCAGCTCGCACCCATCCAGCTTGTTGTTGTTGTCGGAGTCGTGCATTTTGAAGTAGTGGAACTGCAGTTCCTGTTCACTCATTTTGCTCGTATCGATCGGGACATCCATATGCTCAGCAATGTGCCTGTAAGCCCAAAGAATGTTACACGTTAAAGGACAAAGTCCAACTAGAATTGCACAAGCCGAATCTTACGCTTTTTCGTTTTGAATGTTCGCATTCAACACCTGTTGAGGCTGACCATGGTGTGGAGCATGGCCACCACCGTGAGGCTGCTGCTGCTGCTGCTGTACCGGCACCTGCTGATACTGGGGCTGAACCGGAACCTGTTGCTGTTGATACTGAGGAGGTTGCTGTTGTTGTTGCTGCTATATATGTTCCGAAAACAAAAAAGTCAATAAGCCAAAAGGTCAACCACACGAACCGTAAGCTTGTTCAAAATTTACATAGTGTTGCTGCTGTTGCGGGGATGGCGGGGGCTGATTGTACTGTGGCGGGGGTGGTTGATACTGTTGCTGAGGCTGTTGTTGCTGGCGTAAGCGGAATCAATGGAAGCATACAAGATGAAGAACATAAGTACATAAAACGACACACACGCACAACAAACCGGATACTTACATAATGACCGGGATTTACTCCGGGGGCAACTCGCTGACCGAGTGCCACCGCCGCAAACAGCGTCAAGGTTAACGCAAGCTGTTTCATAATTTTCCCGTGTCTGTTTCGCGTTCCGTTTCCTTGCTGCGACTTTCACTTTTCAAGCAAGGCGAGAGGATTGAGTAATATTCCGCCGTTCGAACGTATGTGTGATCCTTCCGTCGGTGTATCCCGGCACGCAATTCGAGGATCTGTCTGGAGGCAGGAACGTATTTTTTTTTCTATCCGATGAGCCACAGGTTGCCAAATCGAAACGAAATCGAGGTGGGAGTGCTTACCTGGAACGTGCGTGTGCTGCTGCTGCTTGAAGCTTGTTCGTCGTCTTCTAGCTGCTGAAATATCCACGTATGTTGTTCGGCTGTCTGATGCTGTTTCGCGTTTTGGCACTTTGACAACGGGGAATGTTTACGCGAGCGACGGGAGAGAGACAAAACAGAACGGGTTTTTTTGACAGTTTCGGAAAGGTTTTGGGCTGATGGGTTTGTTGAGATGGTGCCGAGTGGTCTTGATTGGGGATTATGCGCGTTGTGGAACTCATGAGATCCAACGCTTATTGATTAGGGGTGATCAGGACAATCACCCAAAATTCGCCTCATAATTGCTATTTAATTTTCCGAAATTTCCTTTAAATTTCTAAAGCGATTTTTTCTCCAAAATAACCGTAAATAGTAACTTAGGAGCCGGAGTGTCAGCTGCTAGGCATGGACGGATCAACGCGGTCGCTATGCCGACCATCGAAAAGTTGAAGGGTCGTGAAAATTACACGACGTGACGTTCGCCATGAAAATGACGCTCATCCGCGATGGATCCTGGTGCGCTGTGTCGCCGACTGAAGGTCAGCAAGTCGTCGGAGAGGTTAGTTTGCGGGCGTTGGCCACCATCTGCTTGAGCCTGGAGACGACAAATTACAGTCTGGTCCAGGACGCGAATGATGCCAAGGAAGCGTGGGAGAAGCTGCGGAATGCTTTTCAGGACAACGGTCTGACGCGGAAAATCGGGTTGCTGAGGAAGCTAACGTCGATCCGGTTGGACAAATGCGGTAGCGTGGAATCGTACATCGATGAATTGATGTCCACGACACACAAACTTGCGGGAATCGGATTCAAGGTCGATGATTCATGGCTCGCTGCGTTGTTGCTGATGGGACTTCCGGAGCATTACGAACCCATGATAATGGGACTTGAGGCATCGGGTACTGTGTTAACGTCTGACGCAGTAAAGGCAAAAAATTTGCAAGACGTGAAGGTGCAGAGCGGACCCAAGAATGACAGCGCAGACGGTGCGCTGTACTCAAACCAAAAATCGAAGCCAGGTGGCAACTGTGGTTCTGTAAAGGTGGCAACTGTGGTTCTGCAAAGAAGGACGACACATGCCACAATTGCAAGAAGCGTGTGCATTTTGCAGCGAAATGTCCACAGAAGCAAAATCCTCCAAGGACGTCTGGTAAGGCTTTGTGCAGCGTTTTCGCGATCGGCAATGTAAGCGCCTCGGAGTGGTACTTCGATTCTGGTGCCACATGTCACATGTCCCGGAGTGGCAGCGATTTTGTGGTGCAGCAAGAATTGTCGCGTTCTGTGGGAACGGCAAACAACGACAGCATGAAGTCGGTCGCGAAGGGGTTGGTCAATCTCGAGCTGAGTGAAGGCCTCATCGAAGTTCAAGAAGTGCTGCAGATTCCGGAACTGGCCACTAATCTCCTATCGGTCAGCAAGATGTGTCAAAAAGGATTGACAGTGGTGTTTACTGCAGATAACTGCGAGGTACACGAAAGCGATGGCAACGTGCTCGCATCGGGCACACAGGTAGGCGGCCTGTACATGCTCAACCGAAGGAACGAGGAATCCTTACTTACAACGAGTTCAAGAATCTGGCACAGACGACTAGGGCATCTCAACCTTCAAAGTTTACGGAAGCTGATGGCGATGGCCGACGGCATCGAATTGGCAAACGACGTTATCCCGGAGTGCATCGCCTGTATCGAGGGTAAGCATGCACGTAATCCTTTTCCTTCCAGTGTGTCGCGAGCTGAAGGTCTGCTGGACTTAGTTCACTCGGACCTGGTTGGACCCATCGAAGTTCCATCTCTCGGTGGCAGCCGTTATGTGATGACTTTCATCGACGATGCGAGTCGAAAAGTTTTTCTCTACTTCCTGGAACGTAAAAGTGAAGCATTTGAAGCATACGTGAAGTTCAAGTCCATGGCTGAATGGCAGACCGACCGAAAGCTGAAGGTTCTGAGGACGGACAATGGGACCGAATACGTCAATGCGCCGTTCAGAAGCAGCTTGGAGAAGGATGGAGTGCGTCACCAGAAGACTTGTCCGTATACACCACAGCAAAACGGTGTAGCGGAACGAATGAACCGGACGCCCATCGAGAAGGCCCGAAGCATGCTGAACGATTCGCGTCTCCCGAAGGAATTTTGGGCCGAGGCGGTGTCAACGGCAGCGTATCTCGTTAACAGGAGTCCAACGAGGTCCCTTGAGATGACACCGGAGGAAGCATGGACCGGTAAGAAGCCAGATCTGAGCCATTTGCGTATTTTCGGATACTGGTCCACGTACCGAAGCACAGAAGGAAGAAGTTCGACGCAAAATTCCAGAAAGCAGTTTTCGTGGGATACGCCGCCGATGTCAAGGGATATCGGGTATACGATCCGGTCAAGCGTGACATCCAGATCAGCCGTGACGTGATTGTGGTTGAGGAAGGCAAACCGCAGGACTTGGTCGAGCTCGTCGAAAGTGTGCAACAGGTGCAGTTCATGGAGCTGTACACGATCGAACAACCAAGCATGGATAACAACGACACCATTGAAGCATCAGATGATACGGACGGTACATCGGGAAGCGACTCAAGCGATGCTGAATACGAAGACGCCGGCAGCGAGGATGTCGAAAACGAGCCTGCGCTCCCGCCGCAATCTGATAGACCAGCTGAAGAGCAGCAAGGGTTTAGGCGCAGCGGCCTGGAGCGCCGATTTCCAGGCAAGTATTCTGATTTCGTTACTTATAGTTCGTTTACTGGTGAAGCTGTTTCCCCCCAGTCGTCAACGATACAATCTGAGATGCCGTCTGATGACCCCGAAAGCTACGAGGAAGCGATCAATGGACCGGAGCGCAAGCAGTGGATTCCGGCAATGCGTGAGGAGATCGCCGCTCTGGAAGAAAACGAGACGTGTTAGTTGACGAACCTTCCAAATTTCATGTGACCCGAATGCGCTATCTGTCGTTAAAGTCCGAGGTTCGAATTCGAACCGTTCTCTCTTATAAAAGAGCAACCGAAAATAGATTGGAGCAAGATAGTATACTGAAATTGCATGACAAGGAAAGAGATGTAGCATTGAATGTTCTTCAGAGAAGGATGATGAGAATTGTCGTTTAAAAAGTCGTTGAATTACTTCGGTAATTTGACGTACTTCCGGCCACGATGACCGTTGAAATCACGCCTATCTGAGAATATCAGGAACTTCTACTCGGTCACTTTGATTTGAACCGTGGAAGAGGCGGGAGTGCGAGTAGTTAGTACTTAAGTGTACTTAGTGTCAAGGTGTGTTTTTCGTGGTATGTGTAGCAGTCGAACAGACATTTCTCGTTCCTTTCCGTTAGCCTGTAGAGTACAAACGATAGGTCATAAGTTACGTGCGGTCAACTTATTGTGTGTGCATAGTGTGTAGAAAGGTAAGGTGAATAATGTCTTTTGTGTGGAGATTTATTGTAATGTGTCGAACAGCCGTTGCACCGCATACATGGCTTTGCTCGGCAAACCGCACTCATGATATTTGATTGCGCTCTCTAGACCCCAAGCTTCAGTGTCAAGGTTCCCGGTTTGGGTAAGAATCCGGAAGGGAGACACCGTGACCCTGTTCTCCGACAGAGCGTTGGCCAAATCTGCCAATATCAACCACGTGAACCCACGTGCTGTATTCATCGATGACGACCCCCTCGTCGATATTTACGCCACCGGCAATCGGCGCTAGTTCAGTACCAACTCGAAGGTCGATTGGAAATTTCTGCACCACACCTGTCCGGGGTGCAATTCGCTACACACCACCGTTGAATAGGGTGCTACATTGCCGACCTCACTTCGAAAAAGGGATGCTACTTTGCCAACACAGGTAAAGCCGAGGGTAAACCAGCGACGACATCGATGATACCATGAGCAAACAAAACGCATGCAAATCTCCTCACACACAAACACATGAGCTCGAAGACAAGACCAGGATAGGCTAGCAATCGCTAGAACTAGTTTAGACAACCGCACACACAATTAGGGAAAAATCGGAACCTCCTACTGCTTTGGAATTTTCAATCTCGTTATAGGAATGCTCGACCTCGTTGTCGTCGGAGTCCTCGACCTCGCTGTCATCGATGTCACTATCGGCTTCCTCTCCCCCAATAAAATTGTTATGATTATTTTGCTTAACGACGTGTTCCGGATATCATCCAAACCTTTTGTGGAATAGTTCAATCATTTGGGTTATCATTGATTGGCTAAGAGCACCAGTCTCGTCAATGATTAGATCCAGCGGCGCGGTCATTCGTACTAGCTGGTGACTGGTGGAGTGTCCCTTTCTGAATCCAAACTGTTCCGGAAGGAGAATGTTATTTTCCTCGACAAACTTGTGCAAACGATTGAGAATGAGTTTCTCGAATAATTTGCTCAGCGTTGAAAGGAGACTGAATGGTCTGTAGCTTGAAGGCAATGTTGGATCCTTACCGGGTTTGCGGATTGGTATGTTTTTTGCTATCTTGCTATTTTGCTAGATGCTAGGAAAGTAGTGCAGTTCCAAGCATCTGTTGAAGATAGCGGTTAGAAGAGACTGCACTTTCATGCTGAGTCTCTTCAATATCAAGTTGAATATACCGTCAAACCCGGGAGCCTTCATGTTCTTGGTGCATTTCAGCGCTGAGCAAATTTGTTGTACTGTAATTATATCCGCCGGAGGCACGATACAAGGGAGGCATCTAGGTTTTGAACGTATTGCGCAACCTGATCATCGAGCACACTTTGGATAGTCGAGCCAAGCAAATGCGAAAGCCGATCGTCATCATTTTCGACTCTGAGAGGTGGAATGGGTTTGGGATGAGTTTTCAGGACCTTGGCTACCTTCCAGAATGGTCTGGAGCGGACGTCCAGATTCTGGACAACACGCCCGAAACTTTCATTTCTGCCTGTTCAGATCGGCCATTTCACGTTTTTTGCCCAGATCTTCAGTCCTCTGAAACTGGCGTCTACGAACATTTCTCAGGCGAATCAAGAGTTGGGTGTGGGAATCAATGGCAATAAACTTACCCCTCACAGGAACTCGTCGGACGCACGCCTCGTCAGCCACGGTTATGGCTTGGTGGAGTCCCTCCAACGCTCGGTCGATGTGCTCTACGGTGTCAAGCAGCGGGTTGTCGATGATGTCACGTTACAGTGCAGTTCAGCCACCACCGGTTGGTGGTCGGAGCTGAGTTCGTTCAAGGCTACCGGCTTGGATAAGCCGATATTTGTCAGGGACAGGTCTAGCGTCGATGGGTTGCCCGCCGGTGAAATAAATGTTGGTTCATCCCAAAACCAAACGGAGTACAGCCCATGCTGTGAGTAGTCGAACAGCAGGCGACCGTTCTGGTTCTGCTGGTAGTTCCGCTAGGCCTCATGGCGAGCGTTTAGATCTCCTCCAACTACGAAGCGGGGACCGGTACGGGTGATGGTGGACAGGTCCTTCTTGAATTTAGCCGCTAGTCCACTGCTGGTGGCACACTGTCGAGGGCAGTAGACGGCGATGAACTGAACGTATCCAGTCGACGACTCCACCTCCACACCAAGGGCCTCAATGATAGAGGTGCGGATATGGGACAGAGTGTGGTATTTTATTCCTTTCTTGACAACGACCGCAACACCACCCCCCTGGAGCTGGTGCGATCAAACCGAATAATGTTGTGGTCAGGCAACCAGAAGCTGTCACCAGATAGGATGCCCACGTCGATACTATGCTTGCGGAGGAAGTCAGCTAGCTCGAACTTTTTGGCTTGTACAGACCAAGCGTTCCAAGTGACTATAGTTAACGGTTTAGACGCCATACTGAATAATAAACTTACCGAGCACTTGGATCTGTTCGGGCTTGTTGCGGAACTGACGAAGAGCGCTGGTCATTTCGACGAAAATCTTCATCAGCTCAACCGCAGATCGGGATTGTCGTTTTGTGCTGGTGGTTGTCTCCAGAATCCAGGGGGGGGGGGGGGGGGTAGAGAGCTTTGTCCAGCTGAGGCACCAGACGTTTCTATACGGGGGCCGGGATTGCACCCGTGGATTTGCTTGACCGTGCGGCGTAACACGAAGAGGCGGGAAGTCCTCCACCCTGAATGCCGGAGAGTTTTCCTTATTCCGTCCTGGTAGGCTTCTTGTAGACGCTTACTTTCGGATCCGCTTGAAATCCTCGCGTTTGGGACACTGTCGGACCCTTGATGAGCTCTACCACAGTAGGGGCATTTGCACGTTTTCGACTCGTCGACATGATTTTGGGCGCATTTGCCACAGCGCGGATTGATGTAGCAGTTTCGGGTGCCATGCCCGAAATTCAGGCAACGCTGACACTGGGTGACGTTGTGACGGCCGCCACGGTATGGCTCCCATTAAACAATGATGAAGTTGATGGCGGTTGATGGAGCGGATGGCCTTCAACGCATTGAGCGTCACCGTTGCCTTCTGGAAATGTACCAGGAAAAAGTAATCCGGGTACGTTTTTACGTTTTCGTCTCTCCTCGTCATCCGGAAGACTGCGATTGGGGCTAGCTTGTAACGGTCTTTAAGTTCTTCTTCGATCGACTTGGAGTCAAAGTTCGGTAAGCCCCTGATGACTACCTTCAAGGGCTTCTCACCGGGGATGTCATGTGTGAAGTATTCCGCCCTGGAATCCTTCAGGTACTTCGCGGTTGCTTCGTACTCCGCTTTGGTACGCAGCATCACCTTAGTGCCGATCCTGCTCAGCTTGAATTCAGCTGCAACGCCCAGCGATGTGAGATCGCCAATGAGCGTGTTGAGTGGCACTTTAATCACCACCAGTGGAAGCTTGACTTTTGCCGCACTCGGGACGGCAGAATTTTCATGCTCGACGATAACGCCGAATTCACCGATGTCGCTGACGTTCGTCATGGTGTCACGGCCACTCGCACCATCGGACTGGCCCTGATTCTTCTTCCTTTTCTTCGTCCGCTTCACTTCCACTGGTGGGACATTCCCAACATTGGTGGGAAGAGTAGCGTACCTATTTGTGATAGCTTGCTCCGGGAGCGCTGTCTTCCCATCACACGATGCGACCGGCACTACGACACGAACAAACGCGCAACTCGAACAACTCGACTGAGCGAGCCAAAACCGGACTAAACTAAACTGTTTGACTACTACACTAGTCGAGTCTCTGTTGGAACCATAAATGTACATCAACTGGACTGAATGAGTGAAGTGCAAACGATCGACTATGGATATGTTGCTCAGGGTGGCCAGACCTACCGTTTATCGGTAGTCCTACCGATTTTCGGGACGCCTACCGATTCACAGACGAAAGTTTAAAAATTACCGATTTTTCACTTTTCCTACCGAGAATCCCCCCCGCTCACAAAGGTTTCAAGTATTGGGAAAGCCTTCTTAAGACGGCCTACCGATAACTACCGATAAAAGTTTTGAGAAGCTACCGATAGTGAAAAAATTATCTGGCCACGCTGATTACGCTCCTCCAGCATCATCAACATGCAGAACTTCCATGATGGGAAGTTCGTGGTTTCAAACATCGGAATCCGGACATTTTCTGATTCCCGCTCCATTTTCACTAAATCCCTGATACTTACCTACACACGCGAATTCGGCCAGAAAGCTATCAAAAAACACCACGATTTACAGAGCGACTAAAAACGTGTTTATTCAAGTAACGGTACATGGGAATTCTACACCACCGCATGGGCGTCACACTTGATGGGAGAGCAGAACGGACATAGTGTGTTCAATGCAGATGTTGCTCCTCAATATAAACTACAGCTTGGTTCAACAGGAGCAACCGGTGCGTTTCCAGCAGTGTCGAAACTGCATGCCGTAGACTACTAGTTGGTTCCTCAAACGTGTTATCACTGCCAACAATCCCTTCCTCCATCTGCGAGTAGATACATTTGGCTTCATAATATAACTCCTCAAACTCCGGTAGTTGAAAACCGATGAAACTGATTCCAATGACGGCGTTTTATCTTCGATTTCACTCTGCACGCGTTCCCTAACCTCACAAAGTGGAGGGCCCCGGCTCTGGACGCGTTTCGCCGTGTTTAGCTCCCACTTAATCTTCTCGAAGAGATAATTCCGCTCGATCGTCAGTCCTTCCATAGTCAACCGTTAAATCCAACCGAACCGGGGTACACGCTTGCATAAACACAGGAGTATTTTTTTTTTTAAATCGAACCAGCATGCGGTGTGTACGCGGTTGGTTCAGTTGCCCTTCACAACAGTCCTTAAGTACTCAATTATCAGTAAGACAACTCGTCATCCCCGCTCTCACAGTGCTAACTAAATATCTACCTCGCTATCAACCAGCACAGGTGAGGCTTATCTTGAAATTGATTTGCCTATAAAACAATGTCAAATAGCACCATCTAAAGTTTGTTCAATGAATGCCTACCACTGCTAAATAAACCTTCGTCTTATCCGGACACATTCGTTGTGAGCAAAAACCGACCGCGTTGCGTGACTCATCCTCCAGCAAGTGCTCTACAATGCTTACTTTCTTTGTTCGCCTTTTCCTGATTGCATCAATTTTGAAAGTGAGTAGCTTCAGTTTTTACGCTTAACTACGTTCTACAACTCGCAATTTTTAGTTGGCACAATCCGACGAGAACAGGTTTGTAACGTGTGATCTTGATCTGGAAGAAGCCGCTCTCTCTAAACTACCAGACGAATGTATAAATGTGGACGACCTTACTCGAGAAGCGCTGCTGGAAGAGGCTGCTAGCTTCAAGCGTTTCAATGCGAAATTGATGGACTATGAGAAGAGTTTCAATGCCGACACGGAAGATACCGTCTACAAGGATTGGGAATTCCGAGCCGAACTGTACGGGAATGCCGAGTTGCACTTGTGTCAAAATTCGACAGCTTTTCCAGATTTGCCAGTTTATCTTGAATGCATAATGGAGAAGCGAGCGCAGATGATCCTTGAAATCGATCAGAAAATCGCTAGCATGGGTGATAATTAGGGATTTCTTTTTGTGGTACCTAAGAAAGTATAATACATATAACACTTTTATTAGCCCCTATTCTCTATTCCAATCGACACGGATTTCCCATACAAAGGGAATTCCGTATCGAACGGAATACAGAATAGGGGTGATAGAATCACTGGTATACTTACTAAACATCATCGTTCAATTCATCGACGAATTCCGCCACCAAGTCATCTACGCGAGCATCAACATCGTCCGTTTCAACGATTGGTTTCGACTTCTTCTCACTGGATTCGGTTTCCTCCGGTTGTTCCTTAGCTTCCGACTTCCGTTTCTGAGTCGTAGCCCTTTTCGGTGTGCTCAAAGGTTCCTCAACTACTTCCACATCGTCGTCTGACTTTGGAGGCTTCTCAGTAGACTTGTTCGGAGTTTTTACGGCTTTGCTAGCTTTTTTCGGAGTTTGCTCCGGCTCAACAACCTCCACTTCATCTTCCTCCTCGCCATCGGAATCGATTTCGATAGCCTCCGACTCCAACGTCTTATCCGTAACTGATTTTCGCAGTTCACCGTTGTTGCAATTGCCTCCACTGTCAACATCATCCAGCTCAAAAACGACTTCAGGAGACTTCTCTTCTTCTATAGTGATCTCCTCAACCACAGCGATCGGCTCATCTACGTCACTCAACTCAGGCTCTTCCACTTGTTCCGTCACCTTTCTAACTACCGGTTGTTGTTTGGCCTTTTCAAAACTGATCGGAGTTCTGTTACCGTCATAAGATTGTTTCGCCGGGAAGAATGTGCTATTCAATGGGTGCTTTTTCTTAGCCACCAACATGTCCTTCACTGCGTTCTCTTCCACGGGGAAATAGAAGACTTCCTTGCGAGGGTGAACCAACGTTTCAGCCGAACGACTAAGCTCGGAAGCCCTAGCACGAACGTCTCCGTTAGGATCCTGCACTCCGGCTACGTTGAACAAGGCTACCCCGTACTGCAGCGGCGGTGGACAGAGATGATGCGGATTGACAATCAAGGCGTGCAGTGCGGAAAGAAGGGCTTTCCGACAGTTCGGGTCGAAGTAGAGGTTCTGACGGACACCCGTATTGAGCTGGGAGAATACCGAAAAGCACAGCGAAACGATTTTCTCTTGAATGAGCTTCTGCATGATGGGCTTGATGAAACAACCGGCAGCATTAAGAATCTGGCTGAGACAACGAAGTGCGGCCAAGCAGAGAACTTCGTTACCATAGTCCGACTGGAGATGCTTGGTGTTTTCGAAAGAACCCGTAGAGTGAGTTTTCGCTAGAGAAGTAGCGGCATTTTGCTCCTTTTGGAGCTTCTTCTTCGCCTTGGCGGATAATTTTTGACTGTAAAGCAAAAGTTTTCTTAAACTTCGAACACATGCGTCCTTATGACAAACAACTTACCGACTGGCATTAACCTGTAGTGTCACTTCCGATTCGAATGGAGCCACGTCCTGCACGATATGCTCCAGCAAGCCGTCCGTAATCTCCTCGATACCACTGGCATATGTGACCGTTTCGCACCACAAGCCAATGCTTCCGTAAACCTTCGTTCGCAGCGCTATGTAGGACTTCTTGCGTCCTTTGGCACCCGTGGTCAACGTCCCTTTGAGACACTGATCGAACAGATCCGTCAACAGATTTCCAAACGGAAGCATATTCGATTTCAGCACCAAAACCAAGGCATCAAGAACCTTCAATAGCTGTACCTGGACCTGTGGCAACAGCATTCCCAGTGCCAGATTCTCTTGAATGGTAGTTTTTGCCATGGTCTGACAGCTTACCGAATGACCACGAAGAACCACATTCAAGAGTTTCATCGGCCGGAACGGCTTTGGTACTGGATATGGTAGTACGATCGCTTCTTCTAGATAGCTGATCAAATTCAGTAAACGGTTGACGATCCTTCGAGCTGAAATGACCGGTTCGTCGTCGGTCGCTAGCTTGGGCAGTTTGAGACATTCAAGGTTTTCTTCAACGTCAAATGTTTCCGGTGTATGAGCGAAGACTTTTCCCAGCAAATCGTGTATCGTGTCGACCAGTTTGCACTGGTACTCATCCCAGGTTTTCTTGTGCAGAGTACCATGCTGGCCACCGCCTCGGATTTGCTGTAAGAGCAGTAGGCAACGCCCGGTGCGTTCTACGACCTGCGGATCTTCCGAGTCCACCAAAGAGTACAGATAGTCTTCGATACGGTTTTTGGCCGGACCGGAAACACCCGGATAGTGGCGCATGACTGTTTCCAGGAAATCTAGCGCCGCAACATGCGTGGAAGGATCAATGGACCTCGTGATGTTGTCCATCAGTTTCGGAATGTTGCTGATAGCCAGTTTGTTGAGATCGGACGATTCCAACGATTTGATCAGAATTTGTTCTACAAGAAGGTTCCCAGATAAGTCAGATTTCATTCCCTTTTTTCCCTAGCCTAGGTCAAAGTCATACTCAGCACATCGTAGGCCAGCGGAATGCTGGCAACGTGACCCTTCTGGTTGCAGATCTTCGAGCACACGTTGACGTAGTACTGCAGCTTCTCCTCCAGGGCGTCCAACGGGCACTGCGGAAGGAAGTGGCTCAACGCAATGAGACCACGGTCCCGGGTGAGGGCACTGCCCAGCAGGGCAACGATTTTCGAGAAGTAGAATTCGATCTCATGTTGTGGCTGTTGGAAGGGGGGTTTTCGTGAATAAATTAAATCAGGTTTCTTAGAAGATGTTTTGAGAAATTTAGTAAACAGAACAATGAAAAAACTCGCAGTAGGATTCAATGCAAAACTTCTCAATATTCTTTTCAAAGTTTCCAAACACTTCTTCTTAAAATCAAGCGCACTGGATTTTTTAATTTTTCTAGACGTTTCTGAAATGTTGATAGTTCTTGTGGTTATTCGGTAGATCTATAGGAAATTTCCAAAATACTGGAGTTCTTGCCTACAGAAAGGATTATCAGAATTTCTTGTCAGAGCTGTCATGAGCTCCAGGCAGAATAAAGAATCAATCAATCCCACATTACAAATAGCACCGCAGGCAGCACTAGTTATGATTTAAAAAAAAGTTCCTCCAAGAATTTTAATCGGCCTAATCCTTGGCAAATATCTTATCTTCCGGATACCCTCCAGCCCCGTAATCAAAACCATTGCCCAGAGCTACAAAACCGTCCACATTTTCTTATTTGAGCTCTATCCGTTCCGTACAATACGAACAACTCATTGTGGACTAATTTTCGGCAGGTCAATGGCCAAACCAAATCATTGGAGCACCCAGAATTACCTTCCAACTGAAACTGCTCGTCGTGATTCTGAGCTGTTATTTTTCACCTGATTACTTCCCTCCATGGCGGTTGCTGCTGCACACCGGCCTTTCCATCGTACAGAATAGAAAGTTGCAACGGTGCATCAACGTTTCGCAAATCTGCTGAAGATCCGTGTCTCGGTTCACGAACTCCCAGTGCTATTTTCGGTTTTAGGCTATCAAAATACCGGGTTGCCAAACATGTAATTATTCACAATTAAACAAAGTTAGCTCGATGACTGGCACTGTTGGCCTAGCTGGCAGCACTGCCGGCACAGCTGCGGCACACTGAGAAAAAAAGTTGGCGCAAAATGAGTGTGTAGAGTGACCACCCCTTGCAATTTTATCAATCAATCTGATCCGTTAAAATCCGTTTTCACTCTTGGAGTTGACTGAGATTTATAACGTTTCAGACAATGTAAAGAAGTTTTCTAGCGTTCCCGACGGAGCAGGTTCCGGACGATTTCGGTGAAGATTTTCGATACTGCCTACGAAAGTTCCAGTGGATTTCCGCGGAGTTTTTTTAACGATGTCTACGGAGGAGGTTCCATTCAATTTCGGTGGAGATTTTCGATGCTGCCAACGAAAGATCCGGCTAGAACCTGCTTCGCCGAGGATTCAGAAAATCCATCGTTGGCAGCATCGACAATCTCCACCGAAATCGACTTGAACCTCCTTCGTCGACAGAAAATTTCATTGGAACGTTGGCAGCATTGAAAATCTTCACCGGAATCGGTTTGAACTTTAAAGTCGTAATTGAAAGACGTCTGGTTATGACTATCAAATTCAAGGCTTACTACAACATCCTCTCCTTAACCGTGAATTTGATTTATTCCTAGATTCTTATCAGCTTCAGTGAAACGGTCACCCGGAATGGGCTTGGTGAGAACGTTCGCCTTCTGAAGCTCAGATTTGACGTGATGTAACGAGATTGCCTTCCTCTCAAGTTGCTCTCGTACGAAGTGGTGCTCAGGTCGATGTGTTTGCTTCGTGGCGAATAGACGATCCCCTTCTCCGCCAAACATATCGCACTCTGGTTGTTACAGAAGATTGGGACTGAAACATCTGTCTGGAACACCTCGCCAAGGAATCCACGCCACCAAACAGCTTCCTGTGTCGCACCTGACAGAGCCATATATTCCGCTTCAGTTTATTGTCGACTACAACTTCATGCCACTGATCCGCCACAGTACTGAAACGTGTACCCTGTGACAGCACGATGGGTTTCAAGGTCGTTGTCCCAATCTGCGTTGCTGAATCCTTCCGGAAAATAAGCTTCGATTTTGTGCCCTTCATATATCGGAGAATCCTTTTGGCTACTATCCATTGTGTTTCGCAGGGGTTCACGGCATAAGCCACATCCATGTGCAGTGCGCTAGAAACTGCAATCCTCCTACCAATTCGCGAAACGGAATCCTTTCCATTTGTTGCTTCTGTTGCTCGGTTGATTCCATCTTCGTCAAACGCCATGATAATGGGCCGGATAATGGCCGTCGATACTGTATTGCAGTTTATACTCGAGTTGATCATCTACATACCTTTCTTGATCCAGCATAACTGCGTCGTCACAGCTGGTGATTCGCATACCGAGTACCTGCTTGGCCCAGCTTTTTCATATGAAACGTCGCCATTAACTGCTTCTTCACGGTATCGATTAAAGTTTGATCCGTCGAAAACAGCACGGCGATTACAAGTATTGTGTTGCCTTCTATTTTGAAATACACGCACGGATCGTTGCTAGATCGCTTCTAACCCATGCGTTTCAGCTCTACGTTCAACTTCAAATTCCAGACTCGGCTTGCTAGCTTTAATCTATACAGCGCCTTCACCAAACGACAACATTTCTTTGGTGCCATCCTGTCGACGAATCCTTCCGGTTGCTCCTTGTATATTTCTTCGCCGGATAGCTCTTCCTGAAGAAACGCCGTTTCCGCATCCATTTGGTGTATTGCTACCAGAGCGGATGCTTGCGTATCTTACCACCGGTGAGTAGGTCTCTTTGAAATCAACTCCCTTGAGCTGCGAGAATCCTTTGATAACAAGTCTTGCCTTGTATATTTCCACGGATTCGTCCGGATTCAAGTTCCGCTTGAAGATCCATTTAGCCTTCAAAGGCTTTCTGCCTACCGGTAGCTCGATTAGCTTCCATGTCTTATTGATGGTCAACGAATGCATTTCAGATTCCATAACCTTTCGCTCACGCTCACGATCGTCGGCCTCCATTGTCTCACCGACTGACTGCGGCTCGATTACCCTCTCATGCTCGTCGGTTACCTGGGATTCAACAAACGTTTCAGGAAGTACACTGTATGCCATATCAAAATGTTGATACTTTCCTGGGTTCCAGCGCTCTTCTTGTTGCGAGGGGAGTGCAGACGAGGTTACCAGAATGGTGTCGTTTGCACTGTCGTAATCCGTTTCGTCTTGAAAGGTTTTCTTGATCTCTTCCATTGAGTTCGGCGAAAACTGCTGGTCAGCCGGTAACTTCACTACCCTGTACAATTTCATCACTCAATCACTCCATCATTTCATTCACAGGTTCAACTTCCAACCTCTGTTCAGTATCTCCGCTACCTTGGGTCAAAAAGACGACATCACATTCTTGGATTGAAGATCCGAAGTCCCTTCGAACGATCGGAATATCCAACGAAAACGCCAGGTGCAGATTTCGGATTCCACTTTGATAGCTTTCACATCACTTTCGCTCCGAACACACGTAGTTCAGCCAGAACTGACTGCACACCGGTGAACCGTTCTTCCGGGGTCACTTGCAAACCTTTCGTCTGTAATCGGTTGATCAGGAATACAGCAGTTGAAACAGCATCCGCCCAAAATCGCTTCTCCAGATTCGCATCAAACAGAAGGCATCGCGCTCGTGCAACGAACGTTCGATTCACACTCTCTCAGCTAGACCGTTCTGCTCCGGATTGTAGGACACCTTAACCTCGTGGTGAATCCCGGATCTGCGAAGAAACTTTTCAAACTCACCGTTTACGTATTCTGTGCCATTATCGGACCGCATGCGCTTGATCCGTTTGCCGGTCTGGTTTTCCACCATCGACTTGAAATCTTCAGAAAATACACAAACATCTTGCGGCTGTTGTCGTCAATAAATGTTAGGAAATATCGGCACCACCGATGGACACATTCTCCATCGGGCCACATCAATCTCTATGGATCAGCTCGAGCACTTCTCCTGCACGATTTCCGCTTTTCTAGAAAGGATGACGGAAATGTTTTCTCTTCAAGCACGCAATACAAGCCTGGACCTCTGCATCAACGAAATCGATCAATGTTGCTATGGACCTGACCATCTTGAGACGTGGCATTTTCAAATACCCCATTCTTCGGTGCCACAACACCTTGTCTGCTTCTTCCTTGGTTACGCAGAAAATTTGTTCATTTGCCAAACATAGTGGATAGAGTCCACCACATCGTTGGAAGCCGATCGCACCTAGTATGCATCTTTCGAGAACGTTACTGTGTTACCTGTTGCTGCAAATCTCACTCACGGATATCAAGTTGATCGCCAGATCGGGAGTGCACAGCTCGTTGGACAAATTAACATTGCACGTGCCATCGCCGACATCTGCTTCGATCTTGACGCTGCCAACGTGAGCCCTTCGATCGACACAGCATTGTTTGCCTCGTAGATTCGCTGCTTAACCTCCTTCGCATATTCCAATGTAAAGCCGCTGTGACACATGTGCGAAGTGGTACCTGAATCGAATATCCAACTCACCTCGTGCCGAGGCTCGCGCCTGGTTGAGGAATGGGTTATCGTAAATGCAGCATGCTTGTTCGAATTGGCCTTCTTGTGCATCCTTCATTGGACACTCCGCATCATAGTGTGGTGGACAAGAGTCAGTACAATTTGATCCGCGACAAAGCAACAGCGAAAGAGACGTGGGATGCACTCAAGCTGCACCACAACAAAACGTCTCTGGGGCAGAAAGTGACGCTGCTCAAGCAAATCACCAACCAAAATTACCGAGTGGGTGATGATATGGAAAGTTATCTTGCCGGCATTGAGAAGCATTACGCTCGTCTCCAGAATTCGGGCTTCGAGATGACCGAATGCTTGAAAGTGGCGCTGATCCTTCGTGGCCTCCCGGACGCGTTCAATCCGTTCACAACAGCGTTGGAGGCACGGGACGAAGATGAGCTCACACTTGAGCTCGGCCACAAGAATCTGGAAGCCATCAAGGAAGCGGTGCGTAAGGGTCTGGTGTCTGGAATGTGCGTCAGTGAAGATGGCTAGGCCGTCTTTTCCACAGGTAGCTAAGAAAACGTCAAAGGAGGTGCTCGATATAGTACACAGCGACGTCTGCGGTCCGATGACGGAGACTCCGGGCGGCTGTAGGTACTATATAAC